TTGGCGAGGACCTGGCGTATGTGGCCAGTGCCAGCCAGCGTCCTCCGCAGCTGGTGGGTCTCGCCTGCCAAGGAGCGGCAGAGGACGTTGCTGGCGGCCTGGGCTCGCTCCTTCTCCGCCACGCTCCTCCGCAGCAGGACAACTTCGCTCTCTCGCTCGTGCTGCGGCTGGCTCATCAGCTGCTGCATCTCCCTCTCTTTTTCTTCGAGCTGCTCAGTAAGTCTCTCGATTTCCTAAGCGGAGGATTTACAAAGCATGGTTATTTCATTAAAAGAAGCAATGTCTAAGCACATGCTCAGAAAGCAAAAGGAAACTCAGCACGGCACCCCGCCACCGGGTAACAGTACTCGTTCACTTGCTAGGCCTGGGAACAAGCAACTCAGGGTTTCTCAGCCTGTAATGTTCTGTCTGGAAATTTCATCTAAAATCTTATTTTCAAAAGCAAGTTCATGATTTTAGATTTCACATCATCAAATTACTAACAGTGGCAATTCCAAACACTTCTTAGATAGGAAATGTAGAAATTCCTCTGCAGTGGGTAGCCCCCAAAAGCTTTTGTCTACATCTTTTGGTTAATTAATTCTTTTTCTGCTCTAGGGCAAATGAGTTCTCCAAAGAGAGAGAAGCAGGGGTAGAGAAAGAAAAGTGAGAAAGTACCCCCCAGGGGGTGGTCACACCACAATCCCTTTCCTCCATTCTCCTTTTGGGATTTTGGGCATGCACACACACCAGGTATGCTTTTTGTTTGTTTGTTTGTTTTCTGAGAGGTTTTTACGCTATAGGGCACGCGTGCTCACCAGACAGACAGAGAGAAACATAGAGACAGAAAGCAAGAAATCACCCCCTCATTCTCCTCTCAGGATCTTGGGCACGCACACACACGCGCCTGGTGTGAGTTCTAAGCCACTGGGTCCGGGACGCGAACCGCGGTCGACTACGTGGGAGTCCAGCGACATAGCCATTATGCTAACTGCTTGTTCCCTCCCAGGTATGGTTTTAAAGCTGCCAGGTCTGGGACTCGAACTGTGCCATCAGCTATGTGTGATCCCCGCTTCAACCACTACCCCACCTGCTGGCCCAGTAGGTCTACCCCCAGCCCCCAGTGCCTGGGGCTGAGACTTTATGTAGAAATAGGGCCTTGGGGCCAGAGAGGGGTGCAACAGTAAAATGTGATACTCCGAGAGGCTGACCCACATGAAAAGGTGCTGGGTTCATGCTCAGAGACCCTCCTGAGGGTACTGGGCACACGTACTCATGATCTGGCCTGGCCCAAGCTGGAAGAAGTCACAACACTGAGACCTGTTGGGGGTGCTCTGTCTTTCCCTCACTTACTCGTGGAAGAAATAAACAAACTTAAAAGAAAATTAAGAAATAGGGTCATTACAGATGTAATTAGTTAAGATGAGGTCACACTGAATTAGAATAGGTCCAAATCCAATTACTGGTATCCTCATAAGAGGGAGGGGCCAGCAGGGCATGGTGGGTAAAGTACTGGACTCCCACATAGCTGACTGTGGTTCGAGTCCTGGACCTGGCAGCTTGCTTTCTCATTTTCCCTCCTTCTCTGTCTCCCTGGTCAAGTTAAAAAATAATAATGACGATGATGAATAAAGTTAAATAAAATAATTCGAAAAAAATAGAGGGTAACTTGGGGCCAGTAGGTGGCATGGCAGTTAAGGTGCTGGTCTCCCACATGACCCACCATGGTTCAAGTCCCTGATTTGAAGGCTTGAAAATCATGCCAGGCATGTGTGCATGCATGCCTAAAGCCCAAAGTGAAGAATGGAGAAGGGATTGTGGTGTGGCCATCGCCCCCTCTCTATCTCTCTTCTCTCCAGTGAGCACATGACCAAAAAATAAAAAATCTTAAACAAAAAAAGAAGAGGGTAACCTGAATGGACACACACAGAAGAGAAGGCCGTGTGAAGGCCGAATGGTGTGAGGGATGCGTCTCAATGGGCACCAAGGAATGCTGACCACCAGAAGCTGGAAGAGGCGAGGAAGGGTCTTCCCCTATGGCTTTCCGAAAAAGCCAACACCCTGATTTCAGGCTTCTGGCCTCTAGAACTGCAAAGGATTATTTTCTGTTGCTTTAAGCCTCCCAGCTCGCGGTACTGTGCTAGAGCAGCTCTAGGAAACTTATACACACAACCCTGATCACTTCATTAAAAAAAAAAAAACAAAAAACAAAAACCTTAAAAATAACCATATTTTGGGACCAGCAGTTAGCGTAATGGCCGTGTCGCTGAACTCCCATGTAGTCGACTGCAATTTGAGTACCGGACCCGGTGACTTAAACTCACGCCAGGCGTGTGTGTGTGTGTGTGTGTGTGCGTGCCCAAGATCCCAAGAGGAGAATGGAGGAGAAGGGAATGCGGTGTGGCCATCCCCCCTAGGGGGTGATTTCTCACTTTGTCTCTCTGTCTCTCTCTGTCTTCCTGGCAAGCGCATGCACCCTATAGCAAAAAAACTCTAAAAAAAAAATATTTTAATACCTGGCCTTAAATATGGGCTTTCTCGTTTTCAACATAAACAATACAATGAGGGCAATGAAGTAAGCTCAGCTGGTCCATCCTACAGATGAAGAAAGAGCTGCAGAAAACTCAGGGGCAGGCCCAACCTCCCCCAAGAGGAGGACATAGCCTCTGCCTCGGGTCCTCGCTCACCTCCCACACAATGTGAGGTGGGACAGACACTGGGAATCTAGAAGCTTCTCTCCACAATGGAGCAAGCTACCGGGCCCTATCACCAAGAAAACCCTGAATTGTCATTCTTTTCATTGGCTTTTTAAAAAAATAATAAAAACAACATGTACACTGTCTACAAACATCCAAATATAGGGGCTGGCAGGTGGCACAGTGGTTAAGGGTGCTGGACTCCTACATAGCTGACCATGGTTTGAGTCCTGGACCTGGTGGCTTTCTTTCTCTCTCTCTCTCTGTCCCTCTCTGGTCAAATTAAATAAAAAAATAAAATAAAGTTCAATAAAATAATTCTTTTCAAAGATCTAAATATACAGGAAAAAATCAAATGAAAAGTTTAAACCCCCCCCCCCCCCGCCACTTCACCCTCTAGGAACCACTGCTATTTGTTATTTAGGCATGTATCTTCCTATATTATAAGTATCTATAACATGTGTATTTTTATAAAAATAGAGTATAAAGGGACCAGCAGTTAGCATAATGGCTATGTCGCTGGACTCCCATGTAGTTGACCGCGGTTCACGTCCTAGACCCGGTGGCTTAAAACTCACGCCGGGCACGTGTGCGTGCATGCCCAAGACCCCGAGAGGAGAATGGAGAAGGGATTGCGGCGTGACCATCCCCCCTGGGAGGTGATTTCTCGCTTTCTGTCTTTCTGTCTCTCTCTGTCTGTCTGGCGAGTGCACGCGCCCTATGGCAAAAACCTCTCAAAAAAAAAAAAAGATATAAAAAAAAATAGAGTATAAAACAACACTGTTCACCTTGCCTTTTCCTCCTTAGTAATATATCTTATTTCACAGTGACACAGAGGAACCTGCCTCTTTTTTTTTAAACAATGGCCTGGAACTCTATGATAGATTCCAGATTTATTGAACACACTTCCAACTAACAGACATTGCTGTTTTCTTTACTCTTTTATTTTTCTGCTATAGGGCATGAGTGCTTGTCAGAGAGGGACAGAGACGGGGGCGGGGGTGAGAAAGCACTCCCTTGGGGATGGCCACACCACAATTCTGTTTCTCCCTTCTCCTCCAGTCTCTTGGGATTAGGGCTCGTGTGCATGCATACTCACCCCCCCACACACACACACACGCACACACACGCACATGCCTGGCATGATTTTCCAAGCCTCCCGGGTCTGGGACTCTAAACACAGAGTCAGCCACGTGGGATCCAGCTGCCTTCACCACCACCACACCATCGCCTGGCCCTCCTTGTACTCTTTCTTTTTTTGGAGAGGTCTTTGCTATAGGGCACATGCACTCACCAAAAAGACAGAGACAGAGAGACAGAAAGTGAGAAATCACCCCCCAGGGAGGATGGCCACGCCGCAATCCCTTCTCCTTCATTCTCCTCTTGGGATCCTGGGCACGCACGCACACACGCCCAGTGTGAGTTTAAGCCACCGGGTCTGGGACTTGAACCACGGTTGACTACATGAGAGTCCAGTGATGTAGCTATTACGCCAACTGCTGGTCTCCCTCCTTGTACTCTTTTTTTTTTTCCGCTATAAGGTGCGTGCGCTCGCCAGACAGAGAGAGACATAGAGACAGAAAGCGAGAAATCACCCCCTGGGGGGATGGTCATGCCGCAATCCTTTCTCCTTCATTCTCCTCTCGGGATCTTGGGCACGCATGCACACGTGCCCGGCGTGAGTTCTAAGCCACCGGGTCCGGGATGCGAACCACAGTAGACTACGTGGGAGTCCAGCGACATAGCCATTATGCTAACTGCTGGTTCCTCCTCCTTGTACTCTTGTACAAATATATGAACAGGAAAAAATGCCCAGAAGTCACATGGTTAGAACTCTTTGGGAGTAGGATTAAATAAGTGGAGGTGGATCCAGTGGCTTGCTTTCTCATTCCCCTCCCCCCGTCTCTGGTAAGTGCACATGCCCTATAATAAATTTTTAAAATAAAATTAAAGTAATAAATAAAATCAAGTAACTAATTAATAATAATAATAATAATAATAAAGGAAATAATTGGAGGCAGGATGAGCCCCATGGTGGTTGAGCATTGTGCAGGAGAAATTGGATCCCACATGGCTGACCAGGGTTCAAATCCTGCCCCAGTGACTTGAGAAACATGCCTGGGATGTACACAAGTGTGCCCAGCATCTTGACAGGATGCAGAATTAGAGGACAAAAGGACCGTGGTGTGCCCAGGCCCCAGTGGGAGCGCTCTTTCTCTAACACATAAGCCCATGCAAGTACCCTCTGGTGTTAAAAACAGTAACAGAAATAGACAGAACTCAGACACTAGGTGCCAGCCTGCTCCTGACACCTTTCTACCCACACTCCATGGCATCTTCTATGGTTTGAATATGTCTCCCAGGAATTCTTGTGTTGAGGCTTGACTGCACTGATTATATTGTATCAAGGGAAAACTTAATTCCTCCATAGTGACCCAGAGCGAGGCCTAGTAGGCAGGGATTGCTTCCTGGTGACAGCACCACCGATGCAACGGTCTCATGGACAGACTGATGTCTGGTGAGATCCAGTGAGTTCTGTTAATAGCTCTTCAGGAAGA